CCCCCCCCCCCCCCCCCCCCCCCATGTGTTCGTGTCACATGACAGAGCAGTAGGAACTTTTAATATCAGTACTTTTACTTTGGAAACTTGAGTACATTTAACTTCTGATTTGCTTTTGAATGCTTTTTCTTGAAAGGAAGTGTTTCTCCTTTGTGTCATTACTCTGGTTTTATAAGTCGTTTTTTTCAGGTTCATCCTTCTTTGTCCTTAAAAGAAAGGAGCCTTCTGTGTGTGACAGACTGAACTTTTTCTGGATTTCTTTCTGTTCGTGCCGTCAGAGCTGTCACTTTCTTTTCAGACGGCAGGATGTATCGATTCAGTTTCCAACGACATCGTGATCTGCAGATCTTTCTTGTTTTTTGTTTTTTTTTAACAGACAATCAGTCGTCATAATGCTGCTGTTAGTTAAAAACCTCTGAATCGCTATAAACATACGGAGAATCTGGAGGGCAACGAGGCAATATTTTCACATCAGAAGCATCCCGGTTCTCCGTTTGTAGTCCGAGTAGTATTGACCAATCTCGTTCGAGCAGTCTTCGGTTGAATGCGCGTAAACGGTACGCGTAAACGGTACGCGTAAACGGTACGCGTGTGGAGCAAAAGAGGCCGAAATGCAATCTGGGAAAACAGCAGCGATCTTCCGAAGATGATTTTGTTTTTTTATTGGTTTAAAATCAGCCACGTGTGAAACAATCCGGTCGCACACGTTGTCCCTCAACTCCAAGTTGCTAATCGGACTTTAAGCAACGAGCAGCGCGGAGAAAAGGAAGCGCCGGCCCGAATATCTGCTAGCCTCAGATAATACCTCATTTGCATATTTAAACATACATTTTCAGAAAACTTCCAATACAAATGTTAACTTTATCTATATTCTACTGCGGGTATCTATTAGTCCTTCTGTACATGCCCTATTCACCCTTCATGATGTATTTGTCGGTGTTCACATCTTTAAGACATATTTCTAAATGACGGATAGAAGCAGCATCAGATGTACTGAGGGCGTCTCTGGGCCGGTGAGTGACGGGGTTCACTGTGGCGTCTTTGTGCCCTGGGTGGCGGAGGCCGACAGATGGATGTGTGATCAACTCGGCATGAGTGATTTTTCTCCCTCCTCATCGCACACGGAGACGTTCTTCTTCTGCGCCCCGGCTGACAAATCGCTTCATAGAATGTGACAAATATATCGGCCTCGTCACCTCGGAGGAGAAATGATGGTCAGAAGAAAGAAGTGCGCGGAGCTCCTGAGACGGAGCGGCCGAGGCTCTTTCTTTGCCTCCAGAAAACAAATGTTTAGTGGAATATAGCAGGTGCAGCGTAGAGCAGGACAGTATGTTGTAGAATACATCAGACAGCAAAGAAAAGTGTTTTTATGTATTATTTATTTTCTAATGGGGATGGTTAATCTGACCCGCTCTAATTAGCCTGTTATTTCACCTTAGAACAGTAGAATGCCCAAAGAAACCCAATTAAGACCACACAATAATGTTTATTTTATTTTTATTTTTTAAATGCATGGCTGGGAATGTCAAATGAAGTTTGTTTAACAGTTTTGTGACCTGATGGTCGGTGAGACGGGAGAGAACAAGTGTTGAAAGATGAGGGCGAGTGCCTCCATAGAAGCCTGGCGTGATGGGCTGACAGTCAGAGAAACGCTCCCCAGGAAAGAAATGTATGGATTCTGTTAGAATATCCAAGAGAGACGAGATCATTAATATTTATTTATTTTACTGAAACTGAAGCGTTGGACTTCACAGCTTCCAAAAACGACGAATGTGCAGAATCCATCGACCTGAAATGAAAAAAAAAACACTTTTCTGTGTCTCTGAAAACATTTTGGACATTTCTTTTAAAGATGTGACCTGCTCCATTAACGATGTCACCGTATTTTATAATAACGTTGTAACAGTAGCAGCCACTTCCCATAAGCAGCTCACAATAGCCCCTGGAGGGGAGCCCAGTAATAGATCTTCCTGCCGGGCCTTTAGTCTGAATTACAGCGGGGGAAAACAAAAGGTTAATCACATTGGGAGACTCCGCTCTGCCTCTGACCACCCAGCTTCTCTCCCTCTGTGTTTTCAATTCAAGCTCCTTTTATTGGGCATGAATGTTGGATGAACAGGAGACGAAAAAGAAAAAAGAAAAAGCACCTGGAAAAACAACACAGCTGTCTTTTTGTTCCCTTTTTTTCTGCCACCTTTAATTTGCATCCATCACGTCTGTATGCAATCACCAATGCGTCGAATCAAAATGTAAATGCATCGTAGAAATGCGTCCATCGGAGCGTCCTCTTGTTGATGACCAAATAGTCCTCTCACCCCCCCCCCCCCCCTTCTCTCTTCATCTCCCACCTCTCCAAAAAAAAAAAAAAAAAAAAAAAAAAAAAAAAAAACAGAGGATAACTCACAGTGGTGATGGGGATTGAAACTGCCTAAAGGATCGCCACAGGTTGAAGCTTCTGTCTTTTTTTTTTTTTTTTTCAAGCACCACGTATGGCTGAGCTTTAATGAGCACAGCTCCTTTTGAAAAACAACAGCTCTCCACCAAAGTAGACTGTGAGGATGTCTTTTTGTAAAGCTTCTAACTGTGTGTGTGTGTGTGTGTGCGTGTGTGTGTTTTACAGCGTGGTGGGCCCTGCTGTGACCTTCAAAGTGAGCCCGAACACTCACAACGTCAGCACTGCAGATGTGGCCAACGTGGCAGGTAGGCTCTCCTTGAGTAGTGTCGTCTTTATACGGGCAGAGGGGGAACAGACGACGGGCCGTTATCACTGGCCGGCTGCTGCTCCTGAGGCACCAGATGAACATTTTTTTCAGAACTTATGACTTCAGTAAAATGTGTGGCTTTTTGTGTTCTGCTGTACCCACGCTGCCGCTTATTGGCGAGTATTTTTTGTTTTATCGCTTTGTGTTGAGTTTTTTGGTTTCAGTTTGGATAAGCGTTTGCCCATTTTGAAAGGATTTCTCTTCTTTTTGTGTCGCAAATCTCCGTGCAGCCGTAGTTTGTTTAGCTTCATTGTGGGAATCCATCGGAGAGTTGGACATGGGCCTAAAAACACAAGCTCGAAAAAACAAAGAAAAAAGAAAAAATAGCCAGAGAGACACCAGAAATGTGTTGTTTTTGGGAAATGAGGCAGTTGATTAATGCCTTTCGTAAACACGGAAATTCTGATTCTGATTCTCTAAAGGACACACAATGAGGCCTTCAGTTGTATGAGTTGTACCAAAACGAATCCAGTTCAGTTAAAGGGAAACTAAACTAGTCGAAGTAAACAAGACTAGCCAAGTTTAAGACCGGATAAAACGTGTTAAATTCCTAAAACAGTATATCTCCAATCTGTATGTATTGCCCCAAAATCTTTCAACAGGAAATGCATCATATGAAAGATAATGTTAATTTTAACGTAGCCGTACCTGCTTTCAATGCTACCTTCTGCTAAATATGCTAGCTATTGCCCCAGGGGGCCGAAATGACTTCTCCTGGTTTCCAGACGGAGGCGGGCTTGTGATGAACGGCGCTTCAGATCTGGCCTACACGGGGTCGTCTGCTCAAATTGATCCAGGTCCACGTCCCCCAAACCACTCTGAATCTGATTTATAGACCGGAGCTATGTGCCTCTCTCTTATGTGGAGGACATATAATACATAACATCACTGCCTCTGAATGTTTTAAGGTTTCAGGGATCTGGGGAATGTGGATCATACGAGTTACAATCAAAGATCACGCATAGTTTAAGTGGTTGGATTGGGTGGGAACGTTTCTTCATTGTCTTCACCAGCTAATCTCATTTGAATTAAGGTCTATTACCAGATAAACACATCCATCCCAGAGAAAAAACAAGCTGCGTGCAACTATAATCATGTTAGAATGAAAAAACCTGAAAACTAAATTTCACCCTACAAAAACAACACTCCAGGAACAAAACCAGAAAGATGAGCAACACATAATAAATCCCTCTGTATGCGGAGGCTTGAAGAACAGGAAGCATGTCATTACCGAAGCTTTGATGAGTCCGTACTTTCTCAGGAGTTTGTGTTCGGCTGCTCGATTATGGCAAAAACGTTACTGGTTTCAGAACTATTTGACAGAATAAGTCATTGACTTTGGAAACATCCTGCATTCAGAAAGAAAATGTTGCATTTGAAAGTGCATCGATCTGGTGAAGAAGAAAGTGCACTCGGTTCCTCAGTTCAAGATCCTCCGAATCAAAATGACTCAGTTCAGGCTGTTCTGTCACATGAAGAGGGGCCTCTGTAATAATCTCTGAGGGCAATCCAGCGGTGGAGACACTGTGAAGGTGTGTGTGTGTGTGTGTGTGTGCTGAAATACAGTGTGACTCACGGTAATGAGGCGAGGGTGTTGATGAAGTGGGGAATAAAGAGAGGAGGAATGTTTGCCATTAGCCAAGCTGTCAGTCCAGAGAGAGAGAGAGAGAGCGAGAGAGAGAGAGAGAGAGAGACTTTCCTGATATTCCCTCATCCCGATTCCAGATCCACACACACCACGTAACTTACATGAGTAGCTCACTGTCTATCCCTGCTTGGTGATTGCAACCCCACCTCCTCTCTCACACACACACACATACACACACACACACACGTTGTGCTGATTATGCAACGGCTTCACTCCTGTTTCATTTTGTGCCATTGTTGGCCGTTCTCATTTCCCGCCGGCTCTGCGGGGTCACGGATGAGCCTCGATTGTTATTAATGCAAACATTTGACAGAACGTGCTCGAAATGAAATATGGCGTCCCCTCGGCTAAAGTGCAATGGTGTGGGCGGGCTCGTCTTTAAAGTGTCGTTTGTCATATTCAACTAGAATATCAATCCATCCCAAAGCGTACATTTACCCCCCCCCCCCCCCCCACTGGCCAAGGTTTATGGCGCTTTTCTGAAACATTAAGCTTTACGCCGCCATTGTAATGACGGCGTTTTATCATCATTTGTTGCCGCTCAGCAGGCGGATGGCAGAGATTCTGTCACAAACGTGTGTTTCGGTGGAACGCTTTCGGCAGCTTTGCTCGAGATAATTCGGTTTGGTTTGATTTAATCCCTGCGAACACGTCAGTACGACGTCGGTGTGCGCCGAAGGAATGTTCAAATACATCCAACTGTGTACGTACAGAGGTGGAAGAAGGATTCAGATCCTTCAGTGCGGACGTTTTTATTCTGGAGGCTGCAGATTGAATTGAGTTGTGTTACACTGAGACGTGTTTTCTGATATCCAGGAAGCTATCGTGAGCAAATAGAAATACAAACCCGAGAATATAAAGTTGTTATAAAAGTTCTGAGAATATCTTATGATGTTATGACAATGCAAATATGTATGTTCTGAGAAGTATCAGATATGTTCTTCACCTGTGTCATGTCATGTCCAATGGGCCATTGCGATGGTGTGACACACACAAAATACTCATTAATTAATTCCATCCATCCATTTAGTTATTATATTATGTTTATACACATATTATATATTTGTATTTTTGTATTTTATACCCTATTATTTTTATCATTATTATTATTTCTTTAGTAGAGACAGATCAGCAAATGTTTATTATAGTTAATATAATAAATAAAAGTAGTATTATCTGTTTAAACTTATTTTAAGACGAGTGTATTATTTATATTATTAAATTACTCATATTGGTGCATTTAGCGACGTTTTCATGTTGTAGGTGGAGCTGGTGAGCTGGTTTTTAACCCTTTTATGAATTATTGCATAGTTCCATCTGTACGGATGGATCCCTTTCTACAAGCTGATAATGTGTTTAATATGTTGTCAAATAAATATAGTAGAGTAAGAAGTACAATATTTCCTTCTGAAATGTAAAAGTAGATTAAAAGTATAGAGTACTATAAATTGAATTACTATTTTCAGTGTAGTGCACCATTGGAGTATCTATACCTACATACATGTAGAGCACTATCTTATGTGTGACTTTGTCTTCTAATCTTGTTATATGAGACAATAAATGAAGCCGGTTCTGAATGCAGCCTCACAGGTTTAAACCTCATCTTTCTTCCATCTTACACCGGATCGATTCTGACCCCCCGGCCTCCGCTGGGCCGGGCCAGACCGGCGGTGGTGTTGCATTTTAAGAAGCCACGTTCCCACTTCTGTCACGCGCGTCCGCCCATTGTGAGCCACTCTGGGGATGGGGGGGGCTACTGGGGGGTGGGGCATTGTCAAACGTGGGGGGTGGATGTCAAGATGGTGGGCAGCGAGGTGGTGACCCTCATTGTCTGGTTGAGCGGTGGGCGGGGGACCCGGAGGCTACTTCCAGCGGTGCGTCACGGCCGTGAGAACGAGACCCCGTGAATAGGCCGGGGGGTCAGGGTCAGGACAGCGGGCAGCTCAATTAGCACTTAAAGCAGGAGGAGAGCAGCTGAGATAGCCTCATCCCTGCACCGGCTGTTCATTTTTTTATCCCACCAGCACTTGTTTTTTTGCATACATGCTAATCATGCCTCTGAGTGTGAGGAGAGATACTCACACATGTCCAAAAAGCTGTCCACTCCTGGGACTCTGTCAGTCGCCGCTGGTCAGTTTCTGTCTTCTCTCCGGTTAAACTGGCCCGTCTTTGTTACGGGCACACAATAGCTGGTTGCTCAGTGAGTCAATGTTGCATCTGAAGTTTGATTTGTGTGCTGACGTGTAAATGATTTCCTGGCAGAGAGGTCACTTCAAAAAAAGGGCATTGTCCACCCTGGAGAGGGGGGGCACCAGTGAACGGCTAATTTACATGCTAATTAATGGAATACCCTTAAAAAAAGTGGCGGGGAAGTGCCTGTCATTCTTATCTAGTTCACATATCAATCAACAAAAGATCTTTTTATCAACGTGATTGGGTTTTCAAAACATAATTCATTTTATTTTAGATTTTTTATTTTTTTGTGGCATTTCTTTCTCTATCTAAAGTGTTTCTCTGGTGAATCCTAAATACCTACAATCCTAACTGTTGACAGCACACACATCAAGGTGAAGACCAGTGTCAGCATCAATACAAGTGCATTAAGATAACAGAACCTGTCGATATAGGGTGCTTTATGCCGTCTCAATAAAGGCAACATCGCTAAACAATGTGTGGGGAATAAGTCATATTTAAGAAGAGACGTATGACGAAGATGTTGTGTCTTAACGTGGACACATTGTGGACAAATCAAGTAGATGTCCACATGATATAAAGGAAGAACTGGTGATGAGGATGCAGATATGTTTTTATTTTCACCTTTTTAGCTAATATGTAAAGCAGCCAGTTATAATTGCTCCAATAAAACCTAAAACCAAATGACGACTGCCGACAGGTGTTAGATCTTTTCTGTTAGTGACCTCTTTATCACACATGAGTCTAAATACAGCCTGAGCTCATTAGTGATTTCAAATTGATTCCCAAATCTGTGACTAAACAAGAAAAAGAAGAAGGAGTCCAATTAGGCTGGTTATTTTAAATCTCTTCAGATTTGGCACAAACATCCTCTTGGACTCGAGATTAACTGATTAGAATTTAGATGTTCAAAGGTCACGTGTCTTCACAAAACATTTAGTTGGCCTGAACTCAAAGTGTCATTGAGTTTTTTTTGACGTTTCTTCTAAAACTTAACTTAGTTTTGTTGCCTCAACCTAACTGTATGTAGCTACTTTAAGCCCAACCATGATGCCGTAAACCTAACTAAAAAGTTGTGTTGCCTCAACCTAACTTTT